CATTGTGTACGCATCGAGAATTGTTGTTTCGAACTCCTAAATTTTTTTAATTTTTAGAAAATCCAGTTCTTCTCAGACGGAATCTATTGGTGAAGTGACAAATTCGAAATTATTTAATGCTGAAATTATTTATCCAAAAACAGTTAAGGTATGGATTTCAAATTTTGTCCATCAGTAGCTAACGGTGAAATCTACCACATATCTTTACGTAAAATGACATTACTTTTTTTAGCCAACTGATGTAATTATCACACGTTGGAGAGCAGATCGTTTCTCATGTGGTGCTTTTAGCTTTGTTTCATCAAATTCTACATGTAAGTTTGCATAATTTATTACATTCCATCACAAATTTTCATTTGAAAATCTTCTTTAAAGGAATCATTAAATAACTCAGTTAATTAATTAATTAACAAATTGGTCGATTGAGTTTCAAGTTCGACCATTTGTTCAATTTCTTCGGGAATTTCCAATTGTTTTTTTTTTTTATATAAATTTATTGAAATTTTAGTAGATGCATATGATAATCTAGCAGCACCGGTAAAAGACTCAGCTGGTTGTGATCGAATTTTTTTTGCTGGAGAGCATACCTGTCGAGAACATCCTGGATCGGTTAGTTTAATTAATACCTTCCTTTTTTTTTTTTGATTACTTATTTTTCAATTACTTTGAAATATTGTACAATGTTGTGAACAAAAATCTACATAATTTTTATACCTTCAGATTCATGGTGCTTATTTATCGGGTTTACGTGAAGCAGGACATATCGCTGATTGCATACTTGGAATACCATATGATGTTAAAGTTAATTTTGAAAATACAGTAACAGCTTTATCGGAAAATGTTTAGCATTTTTGTTTGTATATTTTTATCATCGAAAAATTCTAATTTTTATTCAATTCGTTTCAAAATAGTTTAAAAAAATGATTGATTGGACAAATTTTTATTTCTCACTAAATATTATCTCTGATAATTTCTCTCTCTAATTCATCATCTTTTTTTTTTAGCTAATACTTTCTTTTCATGGATATATTTCTGAATTATCAAATTCTAATATGTTTTCCAGCATTTCTATCATTGACATTTTTAATATTTTATGAATTTTTATTGAAATAAAAGATTTTCTATTTTCGAGAAACATTATAGCATCATTTGTTAAAAAATAAATGCTTTCATAGGTTTTTTTTTCGGTGAAAGTAATAAAAAAGAATCAATCAATGAAGGTTTAAATAATAAAATTATAATAATTAAAGGTGAAAATTACACAATTATCATTTGGGAGTATATAATAAAATACCAATTTATTGATTGATTGCTTAAATTCTAATTTATATTTCTCAAGTTTACTTCTTATTTATTAATAGGAAAGTTTGAAAATTGTTAACTTATTTGAAGTACTGCTAAGCTTAAAACAATGCTAGGCTTTAATTTTACATTCTATAAAATTGAGAAGTAGCTTTCTAACAGCAGCAGCTATGACTTGTCAATTATACTGCTAATAATCTATTTAAGAGATGACATGACAATACTAATAGATTATAGGTAATAATATAACATCGTAATCAGTAAGGATTAGGTTGATTAAATTGCAAAAAATGTTTCTGTGCATCTTCGTGTTATAAATAAATTTTAAAAATTTTGTACGTATTGCTGCTATTCCCATATAATTAAAAATTAGCAAATAATTTTATCACACAAATTATATCACTATAAATCGAAATTTCAATTCTTAAATCTTATTTTATTTTCAAAAATGTATTTTGTTTGAGAATTTCGATATTATTCCAATTAATTTAACCGAATAATTTGTCGACAGTAATTTATCGGTCTGTTTGGATATTATTTCAGTTAATTTAACTGAATAATTTATTGAGTTGAAAGTTTGAATGCTTTGCATTTTCATGCTTGCTTGAATATTTCAGATTTCGGAAATAAATTTTTCAATCTTTTTGGAATTATATTTTGGTGTTTCTTTTCTGCCCCAATTTTTAAATCATTTCATATTTAAAAAAAACAAATTGCGACAGTATTTTATTGAAAAAAACAATGAAAAAGGTTGGAAGGCACCGAATAAATGAATCTACAAATAACAAACTAAGCCATGAAATATACATTCAAATTCAGAATCACAGTTTCAGAAATTGTGATTTTTGTTTTTTTTTTTTGTTTGAAATATACATTCAAATTCAAAATCACAATTTCAGAAATATTTCAAAACCTATGAAAAACTTCTAACCTGAAAAAAAGAAACAGCGAATGCAGTTCTCTGAAATATTTAATAATCTGTCAACTATTAAATGGGAAATATAAGGAAAAAATAAATTAAAAATTTTCCGTAAGAAAAAAAATCTAAATTTCGTCATATATTTTCATGTGATGAATTTAATTCTTATCATTTTCCACTTATTAATTAAGTAGTGTTTGAGGGAAAAATTATTCAGTAATGATAATTACCACGAGATTCATAATTATTATCACGTATATCACGACGGAAATCTTCCTCATCATATTCATCGAAACCATGCGTATCTTCACGTTGTAATACCGGTCTTTGGGGTATATTTTGTTGAATTGATACTGATGATTGCGATGGATCTTGGTAATATCCGGAATTCTGGATTAATTGCTCATCATATTGTACCTAAAAATAAATTTTTTTCAAAATTTTTTATACAAAAAGTATGCATGAGAAAGAATACTTTAAGAGTGTTTCGTGTTATTCAGCTGGAACTTAAATTTAAATTTGAAATTTATCACCGAAAACCCTTTATGATCCCAGGATTTTCAGTAATTTTCAGTAATATTTTCAGTAGTTCAGTAACTGAGTAACAATCGCCCATTACTTTTCGTGAAGATTAGATTGAATTTTTCAATATTTCCTTTGAAATTCTTTAAACAAAATCAGTGATAGTTATAAATTTAATGGAAACATGAAAATGATCATATAAGCATGACCAATGGATGACCTCTAAGCCAACAAGTTAAAACGATACTTACAGAAGTATGTAGCATGAAAAGTCAAACATTAATTTTAGTGTACAATGAGAATTAAAGAATAAGCAATTTTTTTCTAAACAAATCAATTGAGTTTCTAATTTCGAACTCATTTAATTAAGTGTCAAATTGAATCGATAATATTTCGATCAGGTAATCAGTAATGGAACAAACAGAAAATAATAACTATAAATAAAAAAGAAATAAAGGTTTATATAAATAAGAGTACTAATTAGGAAATATAAGCAAAAAAATGAATAAATTATGGTGTAATTTACCAAACTATGAAGGCAAAATTTTGCATTTAAATTATTTGAAATTAAAATCGAATATTTAAGAAAAGAAAAAAATGTTTCTCGCTATTAACATTGATCATTTATGTGATTTTACTTCTATCTTTTCCAATTCTATTAATTTATATGAAAATTGCTAAAATGAAAACTTGAAATTTTACCGATGGAAGGTTAAATGTTGGAACACGTTCTTGCTGTTGTGGATTTCTTTGTCGAATCGTTGGCGGAAAGTTCATATTTGGTGAGTTAACCATTGGTGACATTGCTAATGGATGTCCCATTCCTGAATTCATATTTATAATTTAGTATTCCATTTATCCATGGTAATTAATTATAATATATTGTATTTTGAAGTCAATTATTTATAAATTTAGTATAATATAGGCAAGGAATGGAAGGTTCACATTGGCAAACAAATTTAGCTGACATTTATTCTATTTTGAAATTAAAAGAAATATTTACAATTTTCATTAAGGCTCTTTTTAACAAAAAATTTTTTCTTTAATTTGTACTGTAATTTAATTATTTCTCAAACAAATTCTAACTTAAATTTTTTTACGAAATTTTGAAATTTATTTGATATAAATTTTTTACAAATGACTAAATGAAAAATGTTAACCTTGCATAATTTGTGATGGCGTAAACAATGTTGCTGGTCCGCGATTTTCCATTGGATTCCGCTTTATTCGGGGTGGCGATTTAACGGGTGGATGTGTTGCTCTCCAATATGATTCCATATAATCAGCTAAATGCTCACATGCATCTTCCAGTTGATTCTCATCCAACAAAACATCAAACATCTCCTAAAATTAATTTTAAATGATAAAATTTTATTATTTATAAAATTGGGAAGTTAATTTTTGTTAATGACTTTTATGCAAATTAAAATCTTGTTAAAATCATTTTTGTGAAAATTTACATTAAATTTTTTAACTTACCACTGGACATTGTGCTAATTTTTCGGCCGCAACCATTTGTACATTCATATTTCGCGTTTGTGATTTATTCCTTGATTTAATAAGCCTTTGAAGAACCTAAAATTAATCATGTATTAAGTATAACCTGAAATCGATTAAGTAACTAATTAAGTACAGAGTATAGAAGGGTATTCTGAAATATGAATGTTATTACAGACAGATATGATTAATAATGTTAATTAATCTATTATTTACCTTTTTGCGTACATTTCAACGAAGCAATCAATTTAAATTTCAGTTTTATCTTTTTTTTTTCTTTTAAATAATATTTCCGAAATAAAAGAGGAGAAAGTGGAAGTTTCGAAAAAAAAGCTAACTTTAGGTGAGCTAATTTTGATGTAAACATGAATTGGTGCAAGCGATGTTTTAGCTAATTGCGACGGATGATTGATTGTGTCACAGTCTAACACAACAAGCTGCATAGATCGAGCTAATTCAAATATTCTTTCTATTTCCGCCTGAATTTCAGCTAAAAAAAAAGACAAAATGAAGCTTACTGCTAATAAAAATTAAAATTTGCAAACAATCAGTAAAAAGATATTTTAATAGTCTCTAGAACAATATGTCACTATAAATTGTCATATCTATGATATGATAGCAATTAACACGAAAGGTCATCTTTCGTTATGTAGGAAAATTTCTATATCAAAATCGTCGCCTAAGAAAAATTGTGTATACTTGAATTATTACCTTAGGAAAATGTCAATACCTAAATTATCGCTTGAGAAAAATATCGATAATTTAATTATTACCTGAGAAAAATTCCCATAGCTAAACAGTCACCTGAGGAAAATGTATGTATACCTAACTTATTGTTTGAAAAAATTGTCAATCCATTAAATTATTAGCGGTGATAAAATATCTACATCTAAATTGTCATCTGAGAATTCTATACCTAAGCTGCCATCTGAGGAAAATGTTGATGCTTTGGTTGTTACTTGAGGTAAACATTTATACCTAAATTGTTGCTTGATCTTGAATTTGCTCTTTCTATTGTTGCCCGTTTTGATGGATTATTCATCAGTGTTCGTTTTGCTAATGATATATCAGCAGTAACCCGTGTTATTATTATCCTGAAAAAAAAGAGAGGTTTTTGAAGTAAAGTTTAAAATATAAAATATTTTGAAATTGAAATTTTTTACTAAAAAAAAGAAAATCAGAATGATGTCAACAAACCTCCCCTCAAATCGATGTTTCAAATAATCAAAAACAGCTTTTTGCATCATATCTGTGACCTCATAACCTTTCAATGACGGTCCAACAATGACAACAGGTCGCATTGATGGCACTACATCATATGGTGGTAAACTTTCTTGCTGTAATAATTACTTCTTTTCAAATTATTCTTATTTGCAAAAAAATAAAAGTTAAAAATTTTGATTTAGGAAAATTTCTAATTCAAGTTTGTATAATTTTTAAATGCAAAAATTTGGAAAAATTATCATAAATAAGAAAAAAATGAAAAGTTTCACAAACAGTTTTTATATTTAGGAAACAATAAATAACCTTCTTGAACATCAATTTCCTTTTTTCTTTTGCAGGAGGTGGTGTAGAAACTAAATCGGTGATTTTTTTACCATGTGTATTACCTTCCTCATCTAATTCACCTCCTGG